CTGCCATCCAGCCATCAGGAAAGCGGGCACAGAAGGGGCTCATGTTGTTCATCCATGTGGCTTATCTGATTATCCAGGGAAACAGAGCTGTGGGCAAATGGTTCCAAGCACCTCCTCTGAGTCAGTCTGTTGTCCACCTACAAAACTTTTCCATTGTGCCCACAGAGGAGTCCCACCCAGCAACCATATATGCATGTACCAAGAGAAAAGCAGGAAGACCACCAACCAGGCAAAGAAATGAAGAGGAACACCAGGTAGAATGAGGAAGAAAGTACAGAAGAGAAATATAGCTCTCCAAATGTGGAGGGGCGATGTGAAAACACAGGGAATGAGGAAAAGAAGAAGCACTGCAGTCTGCACAGAGGCAAAATTACTATAATAGAACACAGTTGTGCTTAGCTTTAAAAGCAAGTATAATTCTCTCCATGGCTGGAGTCATGGCTTCCGTAAAAGCACAGCAACCTGAAGTGTCAAACTGTTGGTCCTCAGATTTGTGGGGAGGTTGTTGGGATTTCTTTGCCTCTTAAAGTCTCTGAAGAGAGCAGAGGATGAGAGCCCTGTTCATAGTAGCTAGATCAGAAATCAGGTGCTTCCAGCAGAGAAACCATTCTCACTTGTGCAAGAGGCTGTTTCACCCAGTCTGGTAGAATCATGGGACTCCAGAGGGAAGACTGGGAAAGGTAATCTATGAAATGCTGCAAAAATTAGCATATGTTCCTGAACCCTGACACATTTCTCCAATCAGAGATGTGTGTCCCCAGCACGGTGACCTCATGTGGGGTACCTGGGAATGAGGACTGACAGGGACAGCAAGTCTCAGGTGCCTGTATAGGGCTCTCTTAGGAAGAGATTCTGCCTCCCACTGCCCACGAGCAGGAAGGAAACTTTTCCTGCCAGGCTGCTTCCAATGGCATTGCGACTAAGGCACCACAATGGTGATCCAACTCTCCCAGCCTCCTCCTTCCTTTATCACTCAGCATCTTCACCTTTGGAAGCTCCCCTGAGAAATTGGGGTCACTCAGCCCACCATTGTCATTGACACCACTTGGCTGTCAGTGGCAGGACCAATGTAACCTAGAGGTAAATATGAGGTTCATTTGCTGCACATGTCCATTCAGAATTCACCATTGAGTTAGCCCATCATACATTTCTTCAAGGGACCATAGGATGACCTTCCTTGTTAAGGGGAAAACTTCTTGCCTCACATGTACGTCACCGTCATTGAATGCTTAACTCCAAATGTACAATATTTTGGCATCCCCTTGCAGGTACTGTAGGCATCCCCTTGTTTCAAGGGCTGCTGATTGCAACTCCTCTTCTCCTCACTTCCTCTCGATAATCCAACTCCCTGACACACGTTTCATCACACCTGATGTTTTTCCTTGCTACAGTCAGTGAGATGATCAAAAGTGCATGGGATCTAGGAAGGCACCTGCACTCTCTATTCTTTGTCCATTTTTGACAACAGGACAGGGAAAATGTATTTCCAGAAAGATAATGACAAGTCACATTGGGTGGACAAAGATTCCTGGCTAGCGAGTCATCCTTTGTATAGACTAACACTCCCCCAACACCCCACAGGCATGCTAACAGCCCAAGCAGGGAGATGGGGCCCAGCCTGGGAGTGGAAGGAATCTCATGCTAGTGGGATTCCAATCATAACCTAGGTCTTGGGATTACTGGAGGACAGCTTACTGTTTGTTGCCCCAAAGGAGCCCACTTTCTGAATCTGGCAGCAGGGCATTGTCTGAATTCCTCCATGCCTCCACCCCATGAGGGCAGGACTCTCAGATTTCTTTCAACCACTGCTTGAGCAGCTGCTTCTCCAGTTGGCACATCTCCTTTTGCTCCTGCTGCTGCTGCTGCTGCACCCTTTCAGGCAAAAGCCAGAGTGGGTGGTGCCCAGACTGAAGATCAAGCTGATGAGACCCTGCACTAGCATTTCCCAGGATACAGAGTGGAGAGCAGAAATGCTCAGCCTATGGCCCTGGAAATAGCCACATGCACATGGGAACCGATTCTGAGCTCTGTTGCTTGTGGAGTAGACTCTGTCTCCCTTTCCACTGGGTAAGCTGCCACATCATGGCAGTACCTGCATCTCTGGTGCCCCAGGAATGCTTTCTTCCTCTGAGGGAGGCCCAGCAGCTCCCCCTACCACTCCCACAGGGTCTTCTCCTCCCTGTATTGCTGCTGGAGCTGCCCATCTGTCAGAGGGCATGGAGGCTGGAGTCAGAATGGGATTCAGACTTCTGAAGCCCTTCATTAGCTGTTCTGTGGAAGAACGCTGAGGAGCTGCCATGCCCTCCTTGGAGGACTCTGCAATGGTCACCTGAGAAGATCCTGAAACCAATGCTGGGTTCCATTTATGAAGTGGACCCATGGGGATTGAGTCAGAGCTAAAAGCTATGTCTTGCTCTGGTGTCTAGCCTTGAGGGTGAAGCTGGGGGTTTTCCCATTGCTAGTAGACAGGTAGGAAAGTGTGCAGCTAGAAGGTGCCAGATTGTAACAAAGCATTCTGCCATTGCTTCATACTCTCATGTCCTTTTAAGACAATGTCCAGCTTTACCTCTTCACTTAACCTTCCTTCCCTTCTTCAAATTCCTAATCTAGGAAATATCTATCAATGTCCATTTTTTCTTGTGTTATTCATAGAAAACACCTGTACTCCAAAACCTAAATATGCTGCTTCTACTTACACAGAGTTTTAAGGCCAGAACATCTACTCTGGTTTATATGTAAACAGGTATAAACATTTTAAAAAGTTATGTTGGAAATGGCATATAAAATTTGTAGGATAAGAGGTTTTCACTGAAGTGGTTTGACTATGATTGAACGCACATTGGAAAATACTGTGATTCTTTTTTTCAGTTGTAGATGGACACAATACTTCATTTATTTTTTGTGGTGCTTGAAATCAAATCCAGTGATTCACACATTTTAGTCAAGTGCTCTTCCACGGAGGCACAACTCCAGCCTAATATTGTGCTTCTTCATGTTTATAGTTTCATGTTTCAAATCTTTAAATTAGTGGAGAATGAAAAAAAAATTTACATCCTTAGGTTTTCAATGACTATGCATTATAAGCAGGATACTATTTTGTTATTTTAATTAGTTATATATGACAGTAGAATGCATCTTTATATAACATATATATGTATATATATAATTTCTCATTCTTCTGGTTGTACATGATATGGAGTCACACTGGTTGTATAGTTACATATGAGCATAGGGTAATTATGTCTGATTCATTCTATTATCCTTCCTAGCCTGCAAGACTTCCTTAATCATGTTGTTTACCTGTGAATTCAGTGTTCAAACACCCTGTCTTCTTTCGTATTTTGTCCACATTATTTTTACAAAGGAAAACATAGCCACATGTTATTTCTCTATTCTCTGCTAGGAAATTGTTAGGATTCAAATTTTTTCCTTTCAATCTTTTGGTTTTCCACCTATGGAAACATGAGCAATAGAAAACAATGCTCTTATAGAAAACAGCTCATTGAGAAAGAAGAGATGAACCAATGCCTACTCCTCTATTTGAGGCCAGTAGTGTTGCCAATGTTCCCCCATGACATTAAAATTCCACTACAAGTGTCTGACCTTAAAGTCTTATCCACACTAAATGAAACAACCATGGAAATTTGGAATATGTGTGAGTGTTATGCACATGACACATCATACATCCTTTTCCTAGTACTATTTTCATTTTCAAACATTTGTCCTGTCATTTAAAAAAAATCTCATTCTTATCTCTTTATGTCTTTTTCAAATCTGGCCTGATGACAAAGACTCCTCTCTCGGCCTCTCCATAGTTCTTATGTCTGCTAGTTTCTGCTTTGTTTGCCTCCAAATAGCAAGAGAGCCCTTTTGGACCTTAAATCACTTTCCTTTCAATCTGGTGACAAATTTTACCCTGGCATCTCAGCCAGATAACCTGAGGCATCATTATTTCCACACCTCACCATGGAAGCCAACACTGCTATAAAGTCACTACTCATTCTTTAAAATGTCCAAAACATGGGGACATATCCCTCTGTAAATAAAGCATACTGCCTATTTCTTCTAATGGCACTTCAGCTCATTGGGGCACTGTTTCTAAGCCGCATTATTATGTCCATTTTAGTGATGGCAACTGGCCCCATAATAATTTTGAAAGGGTTCTTATAACATAAAATGAATAGTTTCATAATTATTGTTCTATTAGTTAACAGTTCAAATAGCTTACACTTTATCAATGTGAACTCTAGCTATAATCAGGGGAATTGTAAAGGAGATCACATGAGCTCCTAATCTCATTTGTTTAAGCCAAACATTATTAAGCACTTCTGTGACAACCTTGAGCAGTATTTTCTAGCAAGCCTGATATGCACACTCTGCAGGATTAATGATACTATGCTATCTGAGTTTTGTAGACCCTTAGAAACACTCTCCCTGGAATTAGGAACAGTGAAGTCAGAACTTTTCACTTTTGTGGCTTACACTGGGTCTATTTGTTGGCATTACTTAAGAAAAGAAATTTCAGTTCAACATCTATCTTGTGAAGAGCAGCATGGCAGTTAATTTCAGTGCAACAATGAATGAAGTTTTCTAAATTTTGCAATATAAATTACATTTGGGGGGCTATTAGTATTTAAATGAAAACTACATATACTTTACTGGGCTACTGAATTTTTAAAAATAAAAAGTCATACTTTTTTTTAAAGAGAGAGAGAGAGAGAATTTTTTAATATTTATTTTTTAGTTTTTCGGCAGACAAAACATCTTTGTTTGTATGTGGTGCTGAGGATCGAACCCGGGCCACACGCATGCCAGGCGAGCGCGATACCGCTTGAGCCACATCCCCAGCCCAAAAAAGTCATACTTTTTTAAAAAAAGACATTTGACATGGAAAGTCTCACTGACAGGTGTGGATACCAGTCTGAATGGGCATAGAATGGATTTAATGCATAGGTGATGATTCCTCATATTGTTACTTTAATGTGAATTTGACACCCAACTTGAAAAGAATATCATAAGCATTTTATTAAAGCCTTTTTGAAATTGCATGGGTGCAACAAAATTGGCCCATAAGCCTGTCATTAAAATACAGACAGAAACCTCAAAAGATCTTTTTCGTGTGTATGCAATTGCTTTTATAAACACATTTTAAGTTGGAATAAGGGGCTCCTAGTTCATCAGGTTGGGGGCTGTCCTCGCTGCTGTAAGCTGTAGAAGTGAGCTTCCTTCAAGATCTGATTGATTTGGCAGTAAGGACCTTGGGACAGCATATTCTCCTCATACAAGAACTGACAGGTGCTCAGGTCGTGTTCAGCAGCAATCCGATTTATGTTGCTTTCTGGTCCACCTGCTCTCTCTGGGCTATGAATGCTGCTGATGTTCCTTTCAGTAACACTGCTTGAATACTGTAAATAGAAAGGTAGAAATAGGTTCACTATTATGCCACAGTCACATTTGTTTTATATTCACCTTGGAGAATTGCAGCATCAAAGTCTATACAAGGCTTAAAAGTTTAGAAAGTACAGTCCCTGATGGTAGTTAATTCCACCCTCACATCAACCTTATGAATAAAGCTAGGGTTAACACTCCCATGTTACAGATGAGGAAACAGATCTCTGATATGCCCAAGTCCCATAGCTAGGAAATGATAGGGTGAGGACAAAGGCCTTCTAATTCCAAATCCTTCCTTATACCCTCAGCTCCTGCTTGTACCATTCATTCCAAACATCAGAGAAGTACTTTCTCTTCCTCCAAGGGAAATCACCAATTGGCTGGGCATGATGACACATGCCTGTAATCCCAGCGGCATGGGAGGCTAAGGCAGGAGGATCGTAACTTCAAAGCCAGCCTTAGCAAAAGTGAGGTGCTAAGCTACTGAGTGAGACTCTGTCTTTAAATAAAATACAAAATAGCCCTCACTATGTGGGCCAGTGGTCAAGTACCCTTGAGTTCAATCCTGAAAGAGAGAAAGCAAAATTAAGGCCATAAAATGTAAGACAGACTGTGGGTTAAGATGCAAGACATAAATTGTTTGATACATATATTCATTCACATTCATACATCCACATGTACATGCAAATATGTGATAACTCTGCACACGTCTCCTGATGGTGGATATATACATTCTTCCTTTATCAAGTCAAGATCCACATGTGTGGTGACAGGCTGTGGACATTTTTTTAAAATGAAATTTAGGTTTACAGATGGCCTTTGTGGTACTCTGCATTCATAGATCTTCTATCTGTGGACTTGGTTTTGTTTGTGTCTCTTTGCTCTTAATATTGTTTTTCATAACTGGGCATGGTGGTACATGCCTATAATACCAGCTGCATGAGAAGCTAAGGCAGGAGGATCATAAGTTGAAAGCTAGCTTCACCAACTTAGTGAGTGCAGCCTTTAGCAACTTAATATGACCTTGTCTCAAAATTAAAAACATAAAAATAAAACGGACTGAAGATGTGATTCACTGGTTAAATGTCCTGGGTTAAATTACAAAAAAAGAAAAAAATGTTGTTGTACATTGAAATAATATCACAGTCTTTGTTTTCTCACAGAAGCTACTCAGGGATCCCTGAACCCAATTATTGTCAATAATTTTTTGCCTTTCAATGTTAGGATTCCCAAAGAATAATTCATGGCAACGCCAATCTGAATTATGATATTTAACAATGTTAGTATTGTACTTCTCACAAGGTCATCCTTTCCAAAGTTAGCAGTAACAAATTTTATACCAAGAATCATCAAAAGCCATAGGTCATTTAGAGCTACTCATCTTAAGTTATACACTACATTGCCCAGAAGATTTGATGGGCATCCTATGTTGCTCTTTATGCAAGTAGATTCCTATGTTAAGAAGGGTAAATAAAGCCACATGTGAAAATTGTTAGCAAGGGCTTTAAAACAGACATAAGGACTAGTTGTCAAAACAATTCCAAAAGAATATTAACCAATTATTTTCCTAACCATGAAAGTAAAAATCTGGAACTCCATTGTAACAACGTGGTTTAATTGTAATTTTTCAAAAATTAAGTAAGCTAATATATTGGATAAACAACCCACCACATACATCTGGTTTCCACTCAGTTGGCTTTCTGAATTGCTTTTTTCTTTCAAGTATTGTCTGAAAAATAAGATAAGAACTAGAAATCATTTCCAATGAATTCAAGTTTGGATTTTTTTTTTTTTTTTGGTACTCAGGATTGAACCCAGAGGTGCTTAACCACTGAGCCACATCTCTAGCCCATTTTAATATTTTACTTAAATACAGGGTCTTGCTGAGTTGCTAAATGCCTGTATAGTTTGCTGAGGCTGGTTTTGTACTCTTGATCCTCCTGCCTCAGCTTCCAGACCCACTGGGATTACAGGTGTGCACCACTGCATCTAGCTTCGATTTTTATCTCACATTACAAACATCTAGTTTACCATGTCATTAAGGTGACACCATGATGAGAAAGGTGAATAATACAGTAAAATGCATAGGGAGAATAGAATTCTTTAGAATCATTGTGAATGAAAACTGGATCTCTCCAATATCTGTGCAACTTAAACAGTTTTCTTTTTACCTTATTTGTGTAGACATAACTACAACTGTTCATTGACATATTACTATAACATCAGCAGTTTTTTTTGTGTGCTGCTGGGGATAGAATTCAGGGCCTTACATATGCTATGCAAATCTCTACCACTGAGCTACACCCCAGACCACATAAAATTTTTTTAATAAATGAAAATAAGAATCAGTAAAGCTTCAAAAATAGTACAGTAGTTAAATTGTACTGAGACTCTCATACAATAGAATTTTCAAAGCATTTTAAAATGATGATGTAGTTGTAATTTCCTGACATGAAAAGATGTCTCCAACATCATTTGGGAAGATGGAAATCAGTACATGTAGTTTTTCATGTAGTTTTAAAGCATTTCTTCTGGCTGGATATGGTGGTTCACATATGTAATTCCAAAAGGTCAGGAGGCTGAGGCACAAGGATCACAAATTCAAAGCAAGCCTCAGCAACCTAGTGAGACCCTGTCTCAAAAATTAAAGAATATTTTTTTTAATAAAAGAAAAACTGAGGATATGGCTCAGTGGCCCCTGGGGTCAATCTCCAGAACCAATAAAAATAAATTCTGGTGAATGTGTAAATCTTAACAACATCAATATAGTTAAAGATTTCAAATATTTTTTAGTTTTATTTTTGGGGTATCCTCAAATTCGAACTCATGTATAACAGATCTATTACTTTGGGGAAGAATAAGATTTTATTCATAAGTAAACTACAGTATGCTACTATAACACCAAGGAAAATCTGCTTTATAATTCAGTCACTTCTGAAATCGGTGCCAAGAATTATAATGAACTGTTATGCTATAAATGGGATTTTTAGGAAGAAAGTTTATTCTTCTTTAAACTACTAAAGAACATCTAAAGTTCATATACAATAACATCACCTAGTCCAAGAGTGCAATCTATGTAATAAACATAGCCCATACCAGATAATCTGGGCTTTGTTGCACTTTACCTTTGTGAATGTCCTTCCTGAGAGATATCCAGCTGCATGACTTGTTTTACTCTCAGATTTATTGAGAGGAAATGTTTGCTCCTTAATGGTTTTAACTGTCATAACTTCAGTCTTTATTAAGAATCATTTAACCTTGCTAAGCTTGATTTAAGAAAGGAAACATTTTTTTTTTAACCAGGATGAATGAGATACTAAAGGCTTCATGATGGAGAAAGACTCATAAAATAGGAATCCTTCTCATCCTTCTCTTAAGTGCTCATAGAAACTTCTCATCAGAATGCCTATCCGACTGGACAGCTACAAAGATCACTGCTTTTCTTCTCTGATTTAAAAATATACACTTAATGCTGATCTCTGTGCAAGGCAAATATAGTATAGAAGTCCTCATAAATTCATGTATGTGGCAAAATATTATCACATCCGTCAAGAAGGACAGCTCAGCAAGCAAAATTCACAAAGGCACATCACAGAAATCCTAGGGCCCAGGTCTGTGTGCAAAGTTGGGATTTTAGGTGTATTTGAGCCTTAATGAAATTTCCATGTTTACCCCATCAGCAGAGATGCTTTGAGGCCAGCAGAGATTTGCCATATTCTATTTGGGATAAGTAGCAGAATCACATGTGGGGCTTTTTGTCAGTTGGACTCACAGTTACATGTCAGGGCCCCACTTCTGAAAGGCTCTTGAGTAGGTACAATTCATTCTGATCTCCAACCATTGTCTGAACAGGTACTTGCATATCTGTGTGCAAGGATGAACTTTGCCAGGACTATGTAGGGATTCAATAGGTAGTTCCTGAGCCAAATCAAGGAGAATGCTTAGAAAATGACAGCACTGTATTTATTTCCAATGAAGGGGAATGCAGCAAATGCAGAATGCAGCAAAGAATGCATTGCATTCTAGAGAAAGGGGAGGTTTCTTAAAATGAAAGGCACCTGAAATAGGCCTTGTAGGGTGGAGACCAATGGGGAGAAGAAGAAGACCACAAGCTGGAAGAAGATTCCTTGAGGAGACGAATTTAGTACCATGTTGTGGCCGGTGCCTCCTAAAGAAGAGAGACTGGGAGACAAAATATGCAGGAGAAGAAATGGCTATGTCATCAGGGTCCTTGTATGCCATGCTAAGAAGTCTGCAGGGACAGCTATTTGCGATTCAGAGATCAGCTCAGATCAACATTGAGAAGACAGTGAAATAAGAGGAAGTGAATGCAGATTTCAGCTTGGAATAAAGGTGAGTGAAAAGACACAAGAGAGACACAAGGTTAGCTTGAAAGTGGAGTGAGCACCTTAGCAGGCTAGTGGGAGAAACAGTGTGATCAACTGAAGCAGTAAGTAAGAATACTGATTATAGAATATCTTCATAAAACAGAATAGGAATTCACGTTCATATTTATGATACATTGCGATGCATAATGCCTCCTAATTGTAAAAGCAGGTGAACCCAGGATTTTGCTTTCTTTCAGGTCCTTGCTCCTCTCTCCATTCCCTATACCTCAGAGCTATTTATTTTTATGAACCCCAACAGAAAAACAAAATCCACTCAGTACATACTGCATCCCTGTAATTGTAATATGAGTCTTATTCAAAGGCATCTGAAGAACCTAGATTAGCTGAAACCAATAATCTCAAACAAATTCATTAGAACACTTGAAGTATGTGCTCCAAAGTTCCAACACAGTTAAACTGACAGGCTCCTGCTCCCTAATACCACTGAAACTGTGGAATCCTATGAAGTTTGAGATTGCAAATTAGTTAGGCCAGTAAATTACAACCACTTTCCAAATCAACAAGGCAGTGATATTCATGTTTTAGCATCTCTATACTGATGGGTTAAATTAACTATGCTTTCAGTGGTTAGTTTCTCTCACAAGAAGATGTTGGACCAGACATTGAATTTCAAGTGTTTACCAGCTCATCAAAGCCCATTTTTTGACCGAACAAAAGCTCCACCCCCAAAATCTCCCAGAGCACTTCTTTCTCTTGGAATGCATGTAGTCAAGGGAGATGAGAATGACTACTAAGAATCCAATAGAAAAGTGATTTAAAAAACCCATCAAATGTTTCTATTATCTTCTGAATTTATACTACCTTAAATAATGAACTGACCAGGAGGCAGTGTACTAGTTGTGAAAAATCAAGGATTCCTAGAACTCTGATTCTGTGTGTGCAGGGCCCTGTTTTCATTTTTCTCTCATTTGTGCTGCTTCCTTGAAATTCCCCCATTAGGACACCAAATCCTTTTCTATATCAGCAGGAGACAAACATTTTTGGTGGCACTCTGTTCAGTAAGTCACTGGTTTTTATATCTACATAATTTTTCACTCTCAATGTTTTGTACCACTCAGTAATCAGAAAAACACTATGAAATCAATATTCCTGGAAAGAAAAACAGAAATATATAGAAACACTTGGGTCTTCCTGTTTGCACTACTAGAAATCTTATACTGATCTCCTCAGAGACAGATTTATTGAAAAAGTGGTGCTATAAGTTTGAAGGTGCAAACATTAAAAATAAAATGGACTGTTCATACACGTCACTATATGTAATAAGTCCACCAGCCAAGAGAATAAATCACATGATTTATGTAATTTTACCCATCCAGTGGCTGCCCAGGATCTGGAAATATCTCTACCTGTGTCTAAGTCCCAGGAGGAGGGCATGAATTAGTAATCCTTTCATCTCTTGCTCATGAACACTAAAAGTAAGCAATACTTAGTCATAAACTAACAGGATTCATTGAGAAAATCTTTAAAATTCTCTTTTAATACTTTACTGGTAAGCTATATCTCAACTGAAGGAAAACCTTACTAATGAACACAAGTCATTAAGGTTAAGTCTCCTGAAATTAAAATTCGAACTCTTCAATTCCAGCACTGTTCAAGTTTTGCAAAATCACTACAACCACCCCTCAACTGCATTTTCGCTTTTTCCAAGGAGGAATCAAGAATTATATTTTATTTAATAACATATGTGCTTGAAAATATATTTTCCATCTAACATAAGGAAGGGCAGTAAAATTTTTATTTCTTATATGAGTAGAAAAAATGTCTAGGGCTTAATTCTTACTGATTGCATTTAGCAAAATCTGTTTTTCCTCTCCATCCTTCTGTAGGATACTGATAATCATTGCTGAATATCTGAGGCTCAGAAACCTCTGCATTGAAGAAACAATGTTTTTAAAATGCTTTCTTGGAAAAATAATCTTCTCATTGCAGAGATCAAACTGAATCATTTAGTTTAGGAAATGAATGAAATAGAGAGAGGCTATCTGACCATACTTCCTACCTCTTTATCTTGAGAATCCTGAAAGAGAAGGTTTCTCCGAGTCCTTTTGGAATGGAAGTAGTGATGGTTGTCTTCTTGGTTTCCATCTCTTTTCCTTTTCCTGCAAAGACATTGCAAAGGGTGAGGAAAATATATTGATCTTTTGAACACCTAAATTGTAAGCCTTTGCTAATACATAATTTTTACATCATGACTGAGAAATTATGTCTGTATCTGCTGCTTAAATAGATTTACAGCTGTAGATACATCCCAAGGCAAACAGAAGAAAAACCCAAAACAGGAACATTAGGCATATTCAAGCTCTTAGTTTCCCTAGATGAGTTTCAGAAGTCACTGATGCTTGCAAATAAACACACAAAGAGTTTTATGGCCAAGTTTTCAAAATTTACCTAAATAATTCATTGCCTTTATTCTCTGAAATTACAGTTCCAGGTTACATGATTTTAACCCCCTCCATATGATAACTCTTAAGACTGTTTAGCTTCTAGTGTCTAGTTGCTATTAAAGCTCTTATGAAATGGTGTAGAGATACTAAAGAGACATTCCCTTTGCGCTGTTAAGATACTACTGTTGCTATATCAGCAACTATTATGACATAGTGGTTACTTCAATTGACTGTTACCATGAGATTGTGGCTAATGACATCTTTAAAACATTCATTTTTCAACATGTTTTTAATGGTTGGTAAGATTACATCTTTAGCCTGAAGTCTCAGTAAGCAATCAGATTGCAGTGTTTTACATCATAATTCTGGTAAATACCCTGTAACTCATCACACATTCTGTCCTACCATCTACTTTGACATTTCTTTTTACTGTTTGGTACTCCTGAGGATGGCTGAGACAACTCATTTTCATAACTTCTTTACTCTTCAACTGTCATCTGTGGGAAACTATATTTCAAGTAGTCCAATGATCTCAACTTTTTTTAAAAAAAATTAAACTCATTTATTTTATCTTTTCTTTTTAAGAAAAGCAATGTATAATAGGAAATATAGGAGTTCCTGTGCTTGAATCTGCCTCCCTGCCATCCATTTATTAAGCCTGACCTATTGTCTTACAGTTGAGGAAATAGCAAGATCAGAGAAACAAAGTGACTCAGATAGCAAAAATAAGTAAGGCTGGTAGAACTGGAACTGGAAGGAAAGTTCTCTTGAGTCCTGTCCCAACATCCTCCATGTGAGCCTTCAGGATGTAAAAAATGATAAAAGACTGCATGTCCAAATCAAACAATCCCTTTATGATAAAGAAGTTGCCAGTATAAATGCATTCAGATTACTTGTCTACAATGTTATTTCCAAGGAAATTTTTTATAGTACACATGGGTCCTCCCACCCCATGATAAAGGATGTTCTGGCACTTTTAACTAGACTTGGGAAGTGAAAGTCCTTTGCAGCCAGAGCATACTTGTTTCACACATACTGTCTGCTGTCAAATTACCATGTTCTTAATTCCAATACGTTCATAATTTGGCTCCTAAATTCATAATTACTGCATTCTTCATATCCTAAGGTCTTCATTACATGACACAAGCCAATGCAGCAGATCAGGTTTACTAGCTTTTTACCACTGTACTAAATAATGTTAGGATATCTTCCCGAATCTCAGTTTTATGAATTCACTTGAGCCATGGCAGGATCCTTGTGGAAAGACATGCAATATTAACAGCTGATCAAAACATGGAGCAATAATAAAAAAATCTATCATATCTACAAAGGGGATTACATACTACATATCTTATTCATTTAATCTTTATTGAGATTATTATGGAATAAAGGAAGACCTGTGAATCTGAATATTCAAGCTTTGTCCTGAGTCTGCTACGAGCTTCCTAAATGGCCTTCACTAAGACAAATGAACCAGCTAAATCCAGTAAAATCGATTTTTATATATATTTGTATCTATGTGTACACATGTGTTACAGGGCACTAGCCCTGCTTCAAAGCTGAGGCAGTTGCTGAGGCCCTCTCTTCACTGGTTCTTTGAGATCAGACCAGAAACATTTCAGATGTGTCTCTCAGATAGTAGGCATGAGTTTATTAGAAAACATAGGAAAAGGGGACACTCTCAAGGGAGACAGTGGGTCTTCTCATAGTGAAGGATGGTGAAGGATGATGTGTCCTTTTGCCCTCTAGTTTTATTGGGGGTCCCAGGGACTTTCCGTTAAAGTCACACCCACATCCATATTTTGACTTTTGACTAAGAACTTCATGGATCACCTCCAAGACAGAATGATTTGTTGCTCAGATTTGGAGTTTTAAAGGAATTGAGTTCCCCTGTTTTTGCCTCAATTTCCTGCACTCTTATTTGGGTTATTTCCCACCGAATCGCCCTCAGCAAGCTTTCTTTGTGAGGGTCTTGATATTTTGGTTGCCAGGGTGACTGGGGATCCAGATAGATTTTGTGATGAGCGGTCTAGGCTATCTGGTAGAGTGTGACATGATCTTAGAACAAAGGTTTTTCTTAATGGGATGTAATTATGGTTGGGGAGGTTTCCACACATCAGGCCCCCACCTTCCAGGTGCTTGCCTGTCAGATAAGGTAATCTGGTTTTCAGTTGTCCTCCTCCATCCTTCACCTTCTCCCCCATTCAGGGCTGATTAGCTACTTACATTTGTGTATGCATATGCATACAAATGTATGTAGGTGCATATATGCCTATATACATGATAGGATAGAAATGCTAATTATTTTCTTTCACAAGGTTTGTTGATCACCAACTTAACTAGGTATACCCCCCCATAAAAAAGTGAAAACACACACACACACACACAACAAAACAAAACAAAACAACTCCTGCCCTCACAGAGCTGTGAGGACTATTATCCAGACTGTGTTTGGATAATAGTATTTTGAGTATTTTAATGTTTTGAACTCGTTTTTACTGAAACTCTCAACATTTTACAATAGGTTGCATTTCTTTAAAAAAAAAAGTGACCAATATTATGAAAATGATTTTTCAAAACGTAAAACTGAATATATAAAGTGGAGTGTTGAAATCACGATGTAATATTAATTTTATTTGTTTTAAATACATCTTCCTGAGTGTCAAACCTCTAAACAAATTTATCAGAAGATATTATTAATGGTTATGGCTTAGTGATAAATCATGGACAAGGTTAGCTTTCTTTAACACTCTTTATCCACCTAACAAATGTTCTACAGTAAGATTTAATGACTCATATAAATGATGAAAAATATGTTGATAAAGGTTCATAAAACCCCAAGACAACCTGGAAAGAGAGAAGACCAGAGAAGGAGAAATACAATCTAGACAGAACCTCCAGAGAATTGCTAATTTGAAAATCAAAAGGATTTTGTTCCCAAATGGTGAGTTTTCCTGAGGGACTCTAGTAGAAGCCACAACCAACTCACAGCTTCAGGTCCTGTGTGACTCAAGACAGTGGAAAAATCAGCCGGTTCACCAGAAAAAGGCTCCGTGGCGTTTTTTTCAAGCACGAAGGGAGGGGGAAGAGCCGCTCAGACCAGTGTACGACGCAACACTGCCATCTCCAGGCCAGAGAGAAAAATTATCACCAACTTTGGAGGAAAAAACCCACCTATTCCGCTGTTTATCTTCCGAGAACTCGGAGACATTGGCTGAAGAAGCCAAGCGAGACCAAAGGATGGTCCAGTATCGCCAGAAGTGGGTCAGGCAACCTGACCCCAGCGCAGAAGCCATCTCTAGTATCACCCTCGTATCCACAGCAACACCATCAAGAAAAAGACGCAGCTCAAAGGCGGTTGAGGAGCGCGGGATGGGGTGGGGGGAGTTGGGGGTGTGTGTGGGGGGGGAAGCTAGTCTAGGATTGGCGGGTTCTGGGCCTGCGCGTAGGAACCCAGTGAGGTCGTTGCCAGTCTCTCGCTTTGTGTTGGCCTCCATTTTCTTTCCTAGTGAGGTCGTTAACTGTCAGTTAAATGAAGGACTGGTGGTGTTTTGAATCTGCTGCCAGGCTGCCCCAGCCATGCCAGTGTCTTCTCTATTGTCTACTTTACCAACAGCAACCCTTCTCATGTTATTCTCTGATATTTCCTTGAGAAAACAAAACCAGATAGGAACTCTTACCGCCTTCCAACAATACTGAATCTGCATTTGTAATCTCTGGAAGAAGTGAGTTGATCTTATTTGAGGTCAAGCCCTTCACCAGGATCCTGTGCATTTCCATCTTCTTAAGGGATGGACTTTTGCGGTTATAATTTTCTCCTTTGTTATCATGTTCTCTATCTATCTGTACTGGATTATACTATTATCTGTAAAGCCAGCAGTTCGGTGTTTAGGAATTTAGCTTTTTGGAGCAGATCTTGGTTCCTACTGTGTAGTGAGACCCCAAGGGGTTACATTCGAGCCAGGGGAGTTATCATGAAGGATGGCTAGGGGCTAGGTGACCCTATAGCTGAGGCTGTGGAGCAGATAACTCTAGACAGGGGTAGGATGGAGTATGAGACCCAGATTCATAGGGGTCTGCAAATACCAGCAGAGATGAGCTTGAGGCTTAATCAGCCAGGGAGCACTGGTTTTATTTATTTGTGGAGGTTTCCCAGTTTTAACTAATTTGCAACATATTTTCCTTTAATTTACTAAATATTTATTTCTTAAATTTGTTGCATTAAAATCTCTATCTTCTAAATTCAACATCTAGTCTCACATAGAGTGAAATTCTAGTAACTATTTTGTAAGATAAACCTTATAGAAATCATGTTGTAGCAATTCCATTTTAGTTTTGTTTTTCTTTCTTTGTTTCTTTCTTTTTGTGGTGCTAGGGATTAAACCCAGGGCCTTGGGCCTGTGAGGCAAGTGCTTTACCACTGAGCTACATCTTTAGCCCCAGTTTTATTTTTCTTGATGTTGGGTTTTTAAGTTTCATTTTAGATGGGAATTATTGTGGCCCCCAACTCTATTCAAACTAAGAAAACAGACTCTTCTATAATCTAGACAACAGTATCTCTATTCAGCCATTTTGCATACTGGAATACTGGAATCTTGCCTTCACCTTTCTATTTTTTTCATCAGCCAATAATTTGAGTAGAGTATGTGTTCAGATACGTAAAGCCTTTGGTTGTCAGATAAAATACAGGAAGCCCAATCAAATTTCAATTTCAGATAATGATTTTTTAGTGCATCTTAAATTCAAATTTAATTGAACATCCTATGTCTTCTTTTCTAAATCTGGTGGCCTTACTGGCTTGCCAACTCAAGCTGTATGAAGACTGAAGAACACATTCAAAGGTGACAGCTTTGTAAGTCTTTCCAGACTTTCAGTTATTCCTGGCTCACTGGAATATTTATGTCCCCTATACATGAATAGCTTAGCAATCAGAGTGTAAGGTATAGAGAGTTGAACAACTGTTACTGATTTACTTTTTATCACTCTACTTCAAAACTTCTCCTGTAAAACTTCTAACTGGCCTGCCAACATCCCCAAACCTAGTTCACTGCCTCCACATAGTAATGCTGTAAATTTTTACCATATGAACTGGAGAATGGACATGAAAACAATTCTCATTTAAAAGGCCACAAACCCACCCTTTTACCCAACAGAGTAGCAGTTTTCCATAAGTAAATACTTCGCAAGTTATTGTCTGTCAGTTCCATAAAATTATTATTTTCAATAATTTTGTACAATTTTCCACTTTTGTCCTGTGGAAATGAATTTTCCAAACTTTTCATACTACTCTTACTGGAAGAATAATCCCACGGGGTCTATTTTTAAAGACATACAGAAAGCCCTACTAAATGAGTCAACAAATGCTACTTGAGTACCTACAATGTGCTTGACATTTTACTGAATGTCAAAGGTACACAAGAATGATGCATCATGGCCAATGTCTTCAAGGGATCTATAGACAAGCTGGTAATTAGTCTATAATGACATCATGTATTTTGTACATTGCTTGAAACTAAGTAGATTGAGTACAGAGGATTTTTAGTCACTTATTAATGAAGATGGATTTTATATAATTAAAGGCTGGAATATGCTCCCCTAAATATTTTTTGGTACTGAAAACTGTGATTGCCTCTGTGTGTGGTGGCAAAGCAAAGTTCTGGTCATGTAACATATTGATGACTCAATGCAAGTCTGTCTAGTGCCTGATATCCCCCCCCCCCAAAAAAAAACCTCTCACATTTGATGTCTATATAGATAAACTCTGGATTACTATTTATTTCTATCAGGATCATTACAAAAGGTGAATAAATTAAGTCAGGAAGCATATAGTGATGCCCACCATGCTTCAAGGAATATTCTGGAAATGGCAAATTAAATAAGAATGACTCATAGTCCTTGACATCTGGGATCTCACCTAATTTTGATTTGGAAGGAAATGAAAGAAGTAAAAGCATATAACTTTTTAATATCACTTTGAGGAGTCAATGAGGCAAGACTTCATACTCTGGGTTCTGCTTTATTTTTTTTAATTAAAAAATTATTTTTAATTGTTGATATATCTTTATTTTTATTTATTTATATGTGGTGCTGAGAATTGAACCCAGTGCCTCACACATGGCAGGCAAGTGCACTACCACTGAGCCTCAACCCCAGCACCTCTGCATTGTTTTAAAATTAAGAATTATCCAAAATAGAATTAGAATAAGATGTCTACCTCCAAAAAGTTGAAGAAAAGTAGGATTGTATATTATTTTATTTATAATAAAACTAGGAATATATAAAGAAGTCAAGTACAAAAGTTAAAAGTGAACCAAAAAGAAAGCTATATTCACCTGCCATAATATGTTTAGATTAATTAAATGATTTTTTTCAATATCAAAAATTTTGTGGTTTATGTATTTTGCTTAACACAAATTTTAAAAAGAAGTAAAGCAGTTACCAGATTTGATATAAAAATATTCTCTGCACAATAACCACAACTATATAATTATAACTGAAGCATTCCTTGTCTTGAAACTCCAAACATGCCTTTGCTATGGTCCTCAGACCAATCAGGAGAATGTTCCGATTTATAGGGCTTCCTACCTGTTCTACAACAGGTCTCATTGCACAGATGCTAAGAGCTCTGGCTTTGAGGAAAAGTGGATCTGAAGTAATATCACAGTTCTAAGCCTTACAAAATATGTGATCATAGAGAAGTTACTATAGTTTTCAGTAAACTAGTTTCATGATACCTATTTGAGAGGCATGAAGTATAAGGAGTCCTAGACAAATTTTGAATTCTGGTCATGGACTTTATCATAGCACCTAGCATGCCATATATTTTGAGATGATAGGGCCATGTAGCACAACTCTACTCCTCTTATTCTCCCCAGTATGGGAAATCTGATAATACAAACTGCTTAGTTATGATCTAGGAGAACCCATTAACTCCTTCCTATGTGAATTACATATTAGTGAAGAGGGGGAGTATGCCAGGACCCCTGAAAAATCTCCTTTAGTTTGATAACACTCAGGGATGTGCTAGATCTAAATCATACCAATTTATGAGTGGATCCATAAATAACTAAACATCTTAGAAGGCAGTTATTAAATTGTTATGAATTCAAGCAATTTGAAAAATTTGAGCTTTGATTTCTTGGCTAGCCCTAAAGATCCACAATGAGCTTCTAGCTCAGACTATACCTCCATGGATCCACCATAGAGAGTTGCGAAAGGGGCTGGGGTTGTGGCTCAGTGGTAGAGCACTGGCCTTGCACGTGTGAGACACTGGGTTTGATCCTCAGCACCACATATAAATAAATAAAGGTATTACATCCATCTACAATTAAAAAATTTTAAAAAGAGTTGCAACAAATTTGAATTTTTGTTCCTTCCTGAGTTCAAGTAAAGAAATATTCCAGGGGTTACATCAAACTCCCAAACATCATTTTCCAAATTCAAAAGACGGACCATAATAACTTCAACCCTAGTCCTAGGAGTGAACAATTTTTTCACTCCACTATCAGAAAGACTGCTTCAACAGCAGTACAAAGATAAGACAACACAAAAAGAGAGACAATAGGAAAGGTTAGAATTCTCTCAGAACAAAGCACGTTCATGGGAAATTTGGAGCAGAAAACCCTCAATCACATAGCAACTAATTTCATCAAAAAAGAAGGAAGAATCTTTTCCTTAATGAAGAATGGATGGAAATGTCATTACTTCCATAGATCCATAGGATAAGAAGTATATTTCTGTAAACTCTAAAGGGTAGAATCCACTATCTTGGAAAATGCGACTATTTACCCAGGGCCTTAGCAAATTAATCCTTAGCCCTTCAGACCTATGCAGTACTGTCCCATACCAGAAGAGTTGCAGGGAAGTGAAGTCCTCAATGGAGAATTAGACAAATTCACAATTATAATTACAGGATTCAACAAATCCTTCTAAGAAATTTATAAAACGACTAAATAGAATATCAGGACGATATTTAAGCTCTGAAAAACACAATCAACCAACAGGATCTAGTTGCCATGTATAGAATATCTGAGTCTAATCAACATATATAGAACATTCCAGTCAGTAACAGCAAAAAAACTTATTTTTTAATGTATTCATGGAAGATTCACTAACACAGACTCATACTGAGCTATAAAACAAACCTGAACAAGTTTGAAAATAATTAGTATTATACTGGGTGAGGTGGTGCACACATGGAATCCCAGCATTTTGACAAGCTGAGACAGGAGGATCATATGTTTGAGGCCATCCCAGGCAACTTACAAATTCTCTGTTTCAAAATAAATAAATAACATGAGTTAGGGATTCAACTCAATAGCAGAGTGCTTGACTAGCATGCAAAAGGCCCTGGGTTCAATTACCACCACCATCACCACAACAAA